CTTGCCGAATTGCCGTCATAACCATAAGGATCTGTGAAGTTCTTGCCAACCTGGTTGTCGATGCGTCAGATGAGTTCTACATCAGCGTAACCAGACTTCGATGCGTAGCGGCGGAAGTTCTCAGTGAACTGAATGACCGTGGAGTGAGTCTTTGAGCACCACTCCTCCAGGGATGTTTGCGCGGTCTTCTCGGGGGCCAGTTGACGGTAGCCTGCCTTGAGCCGGTTGACGAAGTTGGTCCAGGATCCAAGGGTTCCGCCGTTTGATGCTGTCTCGACGTAGTCCTCAACGTAGTCGTGCGCACCGCCTTCCAAGTACATGAGGGCCAGGGTAATCTTGTCGTTGTCCGTGGTGATGTTCTGAACACGGAACCAAAGGCCCATCTTCTGTAACCATTGTTCGAGAGTGATGTCCGAGCCTTTGTTGCCCTTGTACTTGGGTGGTTCTGATGCCTTGATATGCGAGGCCTGTGATACGACAGGGGCCGGGGCGGTACTGATACCAAGTGTGGTGCGGGTTGACAGACCTTGCTCCAATTATGTAAACTTAGCCGCGAGTTCCTTGTACCGTTTGACAAGCTCCGTGTTATTCCGGTTGAGAACCTCCAGATCCGCATTGACAGTGACCAGTTCCGCCCTCAGCTGTTTGTTCTCTTCGACGGCTTTGAGAGCGAGGTTCCCAGCAGTGTCAGCCTTGGTGTGAAGGCCTGTCATAGACGTGTCCAACTCCTTGAAGGTAGCATGGGTGGTGTCGCTCTCGTTGAGGAAGTCGTTCCGATGTTCATATATTTTGCTGCCGAGGATGTTGTAAACGTTAACTATTTCCCGCCGGGTGATGTCCCTTGTCACAGAGATGGTCCAGTCGACGTAAGCCGGGTTGGTGATCCCTAAACTATTTGCCGAGGCGCGGATAGCGTTTTCCAACGAGTCATATTCAGCACCAGCGTAGATCCATTGAATTTCCGGGTACGCTTGAAGCGTGGCAGTGGGTGAAGCCGGGCGGGTGTGTGCCAGTGATGGGGCTGGGTGGGTGTGTGGCCCCGGATCTTCCAACTCAAAGTCATCCTCTGCCAGAGGGGCGTAACGCGGGCCTGAAGCCATTGGTAGAAAACTATACCTGATACAAAACTAAACAACGATCCAATCCAGATACCCAAGATGTTCTAACTCCACTAGAGCTTTGACAATACACTCGAAGTTCTGCCCAAGTCCACTAAACTTGACCTTTCCAAACTCCTTGCAAAACCAGTCGATGTTTTGTTGTTGGCTGCGGGTCCACGAAGAGCCGTTCTCAATGTTGTCGAGTATCCACTCGAGCCTGTCGCCGATGCGTTGAAGGGCGAGCCGATGGTCGTGGGGGATGTCGAGTAACTGGTCCTTGCGATCGAAGATGGCCTGTAGTCTTTTGATGACGGCACTGACCTTGGAGCCTACAATGGCAAGGAGATCAATGAGATCGCGGTGTGCGAAGGAGGGGATAGGTGGTGCAGAGATACGGTACTGGAGAGGGACTGTAGGGGTGGATGGGACAAAGACTGGTGGTGGTGTGGTGAGACGTGCCACAAGCGGTCTGTTGAGCAGCTGACTAGGGGGCACAGATGGTAGGAGGGCCTTGCGACGAGGGACGATCGGGGTATGCCTATACTGACGGCGGTGTCAAAGGCGATCTGAGGTGTCGTCTGCAAGGGCGTGGTCAATCTGTGACTGGACGTCGAGGTGACCGTGTCTCTTGAAGTGACGACGGGTAAACTCCGGTAGGTCCGAGTCGGATGGAAGGATAGTGGGGGGGGATGATAAATGTTTCAAAAAACTCCTGGGAGAAGAGATCCGGTCCGCAAGTGGTTGAGACACTCTACGGAGGGGATGGGTAAGAGACTTGATCTAATGTCACAGCCAACGAGCTGTGCCACCAAACAAACAAGGGTAAGTGTCACGGACGTTGGACAGACGCCCCTTTTTGCCGCCCATCCCCCTCCCCTTGACGCCCACCTTCCATTTTCGGACCATTTCCTTTCTTAGCCCATCCCAGTTTGGACACTGTAGATATGTTCCCACACCCGCATGCTACGTTCCCGTGATCACCATGCCTTTACCTTTTCCTTCTCGCCCTTTGTTCTCCCTTTGTCATCTTCACTGCCTCGCTCTCGCGCCTTGTCTTTGGTTGCTAAGCAGCTCTTCTAGTATATAAGGACCCCCTTAGGCACTCCCTAGTCCCCATCTCAACCTCTTGGTCATTGGGACTAGGTGAGTGACCATAGCGTTGTATCTCTCTCTGATTGCTAATGTATAACTTGGTCATTGGGACTAGTCTGTCGCTCTCTGTGTGAAGACTAGCTTTCGTAGGTCTCGTGCCTTCGTGCCAGCCTCCGCCCTGCCCTCGTCGAGTTTCTTGTCACGTTTGTCCCTCTCTCTCTCTCCTTCCCTTTTGGCTCCTTGCCGCTCGCCTACGGGGTCGTCGCCGAACGTCGACCCGAGTCTACGCACCTAGTCGCCGCGACAGTTGTCCCCATCCCCCACGGGGTCTCGTACTACTAACGCTCCTGCGTTACCAGCAGAGTTCCTATCACGGTTGGACCTAATGGTCACGTTCCTTAAGGGGTTCGACGCTACTGACGTCGGAGTTACCCCACCCTGCGATATCGCCGGGCTTGCTCGAACCAAGCTATTCTCGGGAGCAACTTCCTGTCGGCGACCAGCAGTAGGCGTCGAACTACTTGCTATGTCCTCAGAGAACCGGCGGGTCCCTGTGGACCTTAGGGGAGCGCCGGTTTGGGGTGAGTCCGCACGTCTGCCAGATGAGCTAGGACCTCCGGGGATTGAGCTTCCTGACGAAGTGTCCGGGTCTCGGGGAGACCGCCTCAGAGGCGAAGCTCGAGTCGAGCTCGCGGTCTCACGGTGTGTCGCGTGTGATGTCGAGGGTTCCGTCATGGTAGGTGCCTAATGCACAATACAATCTAGAAACCCATGTATTCGTGGTATGAAGTGTAAAAAAGTGTAAAATTTACGGGTGTCGCCTGATTCACACAAGTCCGAAGTACACTGAACCAATCTCTAGATTGAGAGGGCGTATACTATGGTGGACGTGGTGAAAGGCTGAGAAGCCTTCGCCACGTCGCGCGGATCCAGATGGATCAGCGCCGATCACCATGACGATCCAGATGTAGATACAAGATGTAGATTAACTACGTAGATAAGATAAGATAATGAACGATCCGTTACACAGGCGTTCCTCACTAGTTAGATCTCGTCGACACGTTCCGAGAACGCGTCCAAGCTCTACTAGTCTACCACACCACGCGTCATTGCCGTAATGCAACAGGCGGATGTATGCGCCATCCCCCGAACTACATTGTATCGGGCGGCCATGTCCCAAGAGCACGCCGGAAACGATCAAGCCCGAATATCTGCGATCCACCGCTCACCGGAGGACAGCAGCAGCACCGATGGGCACAATTTCAGTGCAGCCAAAGACACCGTCCGAGACATGCACAGGGAAGCCCAGTGGGATCAAGCATGGCACGGCTAATACAATTATTACACACTTACAGTCGGAGACGATGTTTACACCAACGGCGGTGGCCTCTGCGTTGGGAGGGCGGCGCTCGCGTTGTCATCCACGGCGATGACGATCACCTCTGTCGAAGAATCAACGACAGATCACTGGGAGAGTGGGGTCAGGAAATCGGTCTCGACTTGGCACTTGAAGATGGGGAAAGGTGTATTGGGGGCGGGTAGCACTCACAGCGAAGGAGATCCGAACAGCTTGCAGGGGCGCTGGAGAAAGCAAACGTCACAGAGATCAAGGCCAGGAGGACACATGGGAGCGCGGAAATTGGGATGGGAAGGAGGGCGACAAGGAGGAGAATCCGACGTGGGTTGTGCGAGGGTGCTTGCTTCGGGCGACGGGGAGAGCCAAGTCAGAGCGTACTCAGCGCCAAGCGTCCGCCGGTGCTCGTATTGCAGCAGAGACGAGCGAGCGAGCGAGGGGAGTGCATGGGACTGCGGTAGGAAGCGAGAGTTGTTGAACAGGCGCTGGTTTACACAGCTTGCCTAACACAGCCGTCACAAGATATGGAACGGCACAGCCGGTTACTGCAATAACCGAGGCTGTACTACTCATGTGGTACACACACAGCTTCGCTGTGTACGCACTGCTTCTCTGTGCGACTGTGCATCCTGGGAATGTACTGTATAGTACTACGTAGCCACAGATGTACAGTAGTATATATAGGGGACCTCTGTACCCCCAATCTACAGTTCAGTTCACTCGAACATCTCCTCTCATCGCTCTAACAAGCCTCTTACAACCAACAACCCTTCTAGGTGAGTTGCAGGCTATCCGCTGTCGTTGCCACCCGTGGGAGAGCCCTTCGCCCCCCGGGTTCAACAAGAGTCCCGAGGTGAGCTGAAGGCGGGGAGGAGGCAATCGAACAGGGGCAATGCACCTTCTGACTTCGCTGTCGAATGTGCTTGCGCGTCTCGTCCAAGTTATCTGTCCGATTCCTGATCCCTAGAATGCCGCAGCCTGTCATCAATGCAATGTTCAGGCGGGGCCTTCAGGAACGCGGAAAAATCTGACCGGAGGGCCGCAAATGCACCGGTTCAGGCTGTAACACAGCGGTGTAACGCCCGGGTCATGGTGAGCCAGTTAGACACGAACACTTAGCCTCTAGGGGGGCAGCATAGCAAACAGCTCTTGGACCTAGCTGGGGCTGAATTCGAGAAGTGGGGAAGATATCGAGACTTCCGGGAGCAGCTACAAGGGCGACGATACCTTCCCACGCACCCACGTGTTCCACAACGGTCACTCGCCATATCGGAGTTGCTACACATCTCGGAGCTCCAAGACGCCTTCCGTTCTACTTGCAACCTATAGATGGGAACGACGCAATTGAAGTGACGATCGCTTCCACGTGCGCTTTTTGTTCGGGTGAGTAACGAGACCCCTTCCCTATATCCCCGTCGCCCGCCAGGTGGGCATTGTACATGGCCTGATATAGATTGAGTAGTACCCTACTATACGGGGCGGCCTGTCTGCTCCGAACCTCGCTCTCTTCCCGGAGATCGTAGTACCCGCACTGTCAATCAGTCATGCGCGCTTGGACCATGAGGCTATCCCATCGTTCCTCCGCGCGTCAAGGAAACACAGGAGAGCCGATCTATTGCGCGTTAGCACTTCTTCTTGACTTGTACAAGGTTATGTCGATGGACTTGTGTCAATTCGGACCTGACGCGTTCGCCCATAGCGCCACCTCCGGGTACTGAGAATCGGTCCGCATCGTGTCCTGACCAGTCCCTTCTACATGTTGCCGCCTGGTCGAAGCTGCTTACTGTGATGTATTACACAAAAAAGTAAGCAGTTTTGAATGCCAGACTCGCTGGCCGTAGACATCGTCGCGTCAGAACTTCTCAAGTGACTCTCACGCTTGACGCGCTGCCATCAATCTGCCGCTCAAACATGCCGGCATACCAGGGCTAGAATTGGCCCACAACTCGATACCTCATCTGTTCCCCCATCGCTCTTGCTTTCCAACGTCCGGGCTCCGATAGTCCTGGTGCCAATTCAACCCCGCAGGCGTAATCTGCAATACCTCTCACTTTCACATATGCTAATGGAATGCGGTTTGCGCCAGGCATAATGCCTTCACTATAGAAACGTTGACAGGCAGGGACTACATGTTGGCCTTGTACTCCTTTCGCTAAGGATTCCGGTGAGAATCTGCAGTGAAAATAGCGAAGGCAGTGTTAATGTCAGAGCTTATGGGTAGTAGTAGGCTATAGCAGGTAACGTACCGTGTCCCCAACACCCTTGAATCTGCCCTCATGGTTCACATCCATCGCTATTCCTGCTCTCCCTTCCCCATTCCACTGGAATGCATCGAAAGAGTAGTCGATTTCCTGAAAGACGACATCCCCACTCTCTGCAATGTCGCTCTCACAGCGCATGGCCTTCTCCCGAGAGCCCAGGTGCACCTCTTCCATACGATCGGAATCCATACCGTCGATCAGGCGGATTCTCTCCCCAAGTTACTCAAGGAGAGGCCACATTTCTCGCAGATAGTGCGCGTGGTATCCATCCTCCCGACAGGAAATTCGCAGACATTACTGCATGCCATGCCCGTCCGTCTTGTCCCGCTTCTCCCCTACCTGCGCTGTTGGAGACTACGAGGTAGAGAAGTGTCGACGGCTGGTGCACAGGCCCCTCCGAGGATGAATCTGCATCCCACGATGCTCACTTCTATCAGGAGTTTGCTCGCAGTGAGGGAGCTGGAACTGGCGTCGCTCACATTCCCATCCGTCTCCGAGCTCGTGCGGCTCCTCATATCTGTCCCCACGCTTTCTGCCCTCCACTGTACCAATATTAAATTCAAAGGAAAAGATGTTCAACCAGACCTTGTCAAATGTCGTCTGGACAGGCTACCGGAGATCAGCTCGTTGACTGTGAGTTCGTCCCATTCAACGATGTCCCACAACATGTTCTGCGGCAGAGACATTGGTGCTGATACAGTCCACAAATTCTCAACCGGTCATACAGATCGTGGACACCCACTTCTCGTTAGCTCAAACACTCATTCCTCGATACTGTCGTTCTCTTCAATCGCTCTGTCTGGGTATCAGCAACACCGGAAAAAATATTAACCAGGGTACCGCGCTGCGCAGACATGCCGACCACAACCAAGAAGCAAGCTCTCCCGCCGACATAGTCACACCTCCTACCACAGATCAATTACGAGCCCTCATCACTAGTGCCACCCTCGTGCGCGACCTCACATTAAGGATAGTCGTACATGGAAGCACCCTCGACTTGGTCCTGAACATCGTCAGTAACGTGTTACAAGCCCTTCGACTACCCTTGCTACACAACTTCGAGCTGGAGATCCACTGCGACAGCTCAGCCGAGCTCGCGTTGGCCACGCGTACCAAGTCAGTCGAGGGGATCTGCAACGCGATCGACGAGCTCCTGCTCTCGCACAATTTCGGCCTCGTCCACGTCTCTATCCACTCCCGGAGGCAGCGCATCAAACTGCTCAGACCCCAGTTCGAGCGGCTGTTCCCCTGCCTGCACACGCGCAGGATACTGCAAGTCAGCACGCACAGCATGACAGGTACGCACACCCATGTTCTCTCCCTTCTCCCTCGCCACTTCAATTGACTCGCCACAGGACACGCCGAAAGTGTGGGACACGACCTCACAGTCGACGCCCTCGCCGTATCCCCCAACGGCCGCTTCCTCGCCACGGGCTCGCCTGACGGCACCCTCGTCATCTGGGCCGCCCACCCGCTCTACTCCAGCCCCCGCCCCGCCCAAGAATGGCTTGTCGGCAACGCGCACCACACCGCCCGCGCGCTCTCCTTCTCCCCCGACAGCCGCCGCCTCGCCATATGCGCCGGCTCCGTCTGCCGCACCATCGTCTGGGCACCGCACCCGCAGCAAAACAAGAACGGCAGCGGCAGCAGCAGGAGCGCGCGGTGGCTCCTCCACCCCGACGCGCATGCGACGCTGCAGGTGTGGGACCCAGCGGCGGGCGCGCGGCTGCTCGTGCTCGGGCGCGGGGGGTACGTCCCGACGGTGTGCATGGCGGACGGCGCGTACGTGATGGACGACAACTTCACGTCCTTCGCGCACCCCGCGTGCGATGCGGTCCACCTGTACCGCCAGCACGCAAGCGCGGGAGACGAGCCTTGGCGGGCGACGCATGGGGTCGCGCACGGGGCGGTGTCCGTGTCCGTGCCTGCGCGGCGTGAAAGCGGACGGGGAGGCGAGAGCGAGAGCGCTCCGCGGCGCTTGATCGCGGCGAAGTGCGTCTCGCCCGATGGCCAGTACGCCGCGTACGCGTCGGGCAACTACAGTGCGGTGCGCATGGTACGGCTGGTGGACAGGGTGTGCGTGCGCGAGCTGGACGTGCATCACGCGGAAGTGACGCTCCTGGCCTTCGCTGTACTGCGCGATGATCGCGGGATGGAGAAGGAAGGGCTGGTGTCGACGGCGAGGGACGGGGCGGTCTGTTTCACGGCGTTGCAGCTCGACTAGGGCTGTAGAGTAGCAGGGTCGCACGTCGCGCCGTCCCGCTGAATGTACACGTACGAAGACTGAAAGCGAGCCTGTATGGTTTTGGATCCGAGACACTTCACGAAGGGCAGGACGCTAGCATGAGCGAGTGTGGGCGCAAGTACGCAAGGGGTCGACAAAGACGCAAGCGAACATGGGGACGTGTCAAGCAACGACAAGACTGGTTCTAACAACCACCTCTAAGTACAGAAAAGAGGCCATTGCCGAGTCGAGCAAGGAAACATAGAAGGGACAACGGGCATTGCACTGCATGCGCGATTTGCAACACTGTAACCATGAAACCGAAGAGGAGGACGGCAATAGGACGTACGCACCTATGTTGTCTAGTCCACGTGAACGATCCAAATAATCGGCATCAGTACGCGGAGCCCCCTCACGCCCTCGAACAACTCCGTTGTGGGCCGGGATGGTGGCAAGGCGACCAAGTCCGTCCTTTCAGTGTATCCGCTGCCGCCCCATTCCGAGAGGGATTTTGATCGCCTAAGCTTGCTGCCTCACGTTGTGCGGTTTGCAAAATCGACAGCCAGAAGATGATACCCAGAGACGTCCCAGAGACAAGGAGTTACCGGCGATGCCACCAGCAGGGGAGAAAGAAGGCTCATGGCGTCTCTTTCATCCGGTAAATGTCGTCAACGATCGGCCCGGGGAAGTCGCTTGTGAGAGAACGTCTGTCTAGCGTCTCCAGTGCTTCGCTTCCCATCGTACCTCCTGGGGGTTTGAGGCACGTCCCGCCGCGATGTCGTATTGTGGGCAAAGACAGTGGGAGAAATGCGCACCGTGACCTGCGTCCAATTGAGGATCGACCCGTAATAGCACCCGATACATCCGGATATCTCCGATGATATAATTCTGCGTTCACAGTGGGAGACCCCCTAGACCATAGTCCTCGCCGCTGCTCCTTTATCTCTATAGGTGGGCATATATTTTAGTACTGGTTCAATAAACTCCTTCAAGGCAACCGGCTGATGAAGAGAACGCGATAGCCTTCCTCACGAGTTAGTCTGTGCCGAATTCTGGGCCGTTCCTGGTCCCCTTCAGTGATACTATCAGTACCCCCGGCAACTGGGTCCGTATTGGTTGGATATACCCATCACTCTGTCGATCATAAAACTCATATAGTACTTTCATGACCAGATGTACAGATCGCCTTTGACAGACCTTTCGACACGCAATCCACGGAGTCGAAATATTCTACCTCCAGAGAAGCTCGCAGAGCTTGTGTCTTCATACATCGTGTTTTGTTCGGTAAGCGATGGAATGCATATCTCATATAGATTGACTTAAAGGTAGCCCCTTACAGAGGACTGCCTCATTTTCAGACAACTGTTCGTCAAACCTCCTTTCGTTGACGTTGTGCAAGATATACTGTTTCCCTCCGCTGTCAGTACGCTCTGGAACTCGCTCGATGTACATGCGGTTTATAGAAGCTATGACACAGTCATCATGTGGCTCCTTAGCACAGATCGCGCAGAGCTCCACCACTTCATCAGTCCCCAGCACCTTTCGGATGGCTACGCGATCCTGTCGCATGTATGGGGCAAGAAGGAGCAATCTTTCCAGGAGACACCAGCGTATCACAAGGATCTCCCCTCTAATCGACCAAATGCTCGCGATACGGCTTCGGAGAAGGTCCGCCAATGTTGCATTCTTGCAGAACGGGATGGCCTTCGGTGGATTTGGAACGACACATGCTGTATTGATAAGACCAGCTCTGCAGACCTCTCCGAGGCGATCAACTCCATGTATCTCTACTACTCACTCGCAGAGGTCTGCTATGCCTACCTAGCGGACGTCGCTCAAGATCGATTTGACACCGGCACGAAGGGACTCTTCGCCGCGAGTCAGTGGCATACTCGGGGTTGGACGCTACAGGAACTCATTGCCTCCCCATTCCTCGTCTTGATATCCTCAGACTGGCAGAAGCTCGGTACCAAGATGGACCACGCTCGGTCCCTGAGCAAAATTACCCATATCCCTGTCGAAGTGCTCCTGATGCAGAAGCCAGTCAGCAGCTTCAGCGTGGCCCAACGCATGTCGTGGGCTTGCGGACGCAAAACCACTCGGGTTGAGGATCGTGCCTACTCGCTCATGGGAATCTTCTCCGTCAACATGACGGCAATCTATGGCGAAGGAGAACGTGCATTTCGGCGACTGCAGGAGGAGATCATGAGGCAGTCTATTGACCCATCGCTATTCGCCTGGGGCGACTTCTCGGATTGGCAGGACTTTCAAGGCTTCAACACGTCGACGTCCGAGACCGAGACCGGTGGCGGTTCTCATATGCATAATTCCTATACATCATATCTACTGGCGAGATCTCCAGATGATTTCGCCCCAAATGCCTCCGGCAAAATAACTTTTCGTCGGGAGACCTCACAAATCGCCTCTGTTAAAAAGGTATGAGATTTATCTAAAAATCATGATTCCAAGCACTTACCCTGATCCCGACGCGTCGTTCACTCGATGACTAGCGCACTAGTTTAGCTCTCAATACGCATGATGTTCCCACATTCGCCGCCACCCCCTACGGCTGCCTATCTCGTCTCGTATGCTTTCAACTAGGTCATATCACTCTTGCTAGTCTAGCATGTCAGTGGGATCAGACGCCCAGATCCGAACAGTTGTCTTTGTGGCTAGTCCTTCAACGCTGCGCAGACACATCCCTTGACAATCTAGGCCCACTCTACCACACCGGAAGTCAACGGCTCGGAGCTGTCAGTCGACGGATAGTGGGAATCCCCGAAAACCTACATCCATGGAAAAGGCAGAAGATCCGGCAGCAAGAGATCCACATAGCGCTCTGGCATACGACTCCCAAGGACACATCACCTCCGATCCCCGTGGCACTTGAACACAAGCGCTTCCAGACCCCCTTCCATATCACTCACGACGCTCTTCGTAACACGTTCCTAGAACCATGGAGGCTTCACCGTGCACCACCCGTTCCGTACAACTGGCCCGGGACTCCCCCCATTGCGTTCCATTTCATACGCGATGATTTGCGCATCGGCGTGCAATTCATTATAGGACTCTGTCTTACGGAACCCGGCCAGCACTTTGCAAGCTTCCACTTCTATCGATCGGATCTGATACCGGCTCAAGATCATTTGCTAGCCGCGCACGACTGCCGATGGGACCATATCTCAAAGTGGCCAGAAGGGCTTCAAGGCCAAGGTGATATACAGGCTTCCTCTCTTGACTACTATCGTAAGATAATCTGAACACATACAGGATCCCGCACCTGGATCCCTTGCCAGTATATCAGGATCATGTTTGTACCACAACTTCTGTGCACAACGAGTCCTCGACTTATGTTGGACACTGTCTGGAAAGGACCTGTAGATTTGATTGCATATGGTAGAAGGTGACTCGTGCCTGGTTTTCGGTATTATATGAGCTCATTACTGTTGCTCCTCAGACAGGATGCGTATGGAACGTTTTTGCGCAAGCAGCCTCATGTCGTCCATGATGGGCAGCTCTCGAAATTTATCACGAGCAGGTTGTCAGCGTGATGGTCTTGGCTCCTACATGCTAGTAGAACAGTATCCTTGTCCTTGTATAGTCCGCGTCTATGACGGTTTCAGGATAAGTGATGAGGACATCTAGTCCAGTGTTTCGCATCCTCCTTGTTTTCGGTTTCCCATGAAGACTCTCTTACTACCTAAGGTCGAGTGGACAAAGATTCAACCCCATTGTTACGCGCAAATCCCATTGAGATTGTGATAGCCGGCCTTGGTCTCCTATCCGTACAATCAATGCTTCTCCATGTCGATCTGGACTGCCATGAATAGCCGTGAGTAGAAGCGCACCGTTTTGGAACCCATGTGCATCCGCTCTCGTTGAATCTCTGACTCCGAACGCCTCATACGGATCACGGATGCCTAAGGGCATGATAACTCGCCTCTCATTTCGACAGATTATGTTGACTCACCAAGGTGTCGTTGTGAAGTAGCTGGCTTCCGGACCGTAACAAATGCGGGACTTCATGGCTGCAGGCTCACTCCTACTGTCTGTTGGCACGAACACCGTCGGTAGTCCGAAATGCCAGCTCCATTGTGATCACTTGCAATACAAGCTCTGTGCGCGGTATTTTCATTTCAACGTGGGCCAACAGCCAGCAGCTCGAACAGGATAACGCTACTGCATTGATTAGAACTGCTCGACGAAAAGGTTGGTGCCGAACGGAACAAAGGAACGAGGTGGACACAGGAAAGCAGGCATCGTCACAAATAACATCAGGATAGGTTGAAAGACGCGAAGCAAGAGATCTGCGATCTAAATTTTAATCCGACGGTGTCAAGAAACTGGCCAGAACCCAGCCGACGTCTCCTGCCTGGTCCCGCGCGAGCAGGAGACAGTCCTCGCCGTCGTCTATGTACAGAGGGAGATCGCGGTGCATGGACGGGTGTCCCATTTCCTGCAGGATTCCATACACGTCGTCCACCCGAAGCGTGAAAAATGGCAGGTCGCGGTACTCCACGCCCTCTGGTGGCTCGCATGAGTGCACCACGCGGCACTCGTACAACGACGGTAACCGAACTCCACTCTCCCGTCGTGTTTGTATCGCCGGCCCCGGCCGGAAAGTCGGTTCAGTCGGGGATGGGACGTTGATCAGGCTGGGATTGCTGTCGTTCAGGGTAACGTTGTTGTCGACACCAATATATATAGTGGAAGACCGGGACGGGGTGAGCGGCGGGGGGGCCGGCGTGCTATTCAACGTCCGCGGAGGGGAGGGAGCGCGAAGAGAATGAAGAAGACCACGTTGAAACCCGTCGTCGTCTCCCCTATGGTCAAGTGCCGCTTGCCAGATCCTGAGTCCTTGGATCTGGGCCTCGACCTTTACAAACCGGCCGCGCCACGCCATCCGTGTGTCCAGTACTAGCTCCGCCTCGTCCACTGCCAACGTGTCCCGCAATTCTGTACATCGCTTGCGCACGTTGTTGTAGAATCGCCGCTGGATCTGGTTAAACATGCGTATGCACACTGCCATACCCTTGTCGATGAGCGAGAGGTAGGTTGGGAGCTCCGCAAAGAGCTGCGTGCGGAGCGCCACGTACGACTTCGATGTTTCGATGACCTGGGGCGGCGGCCGGCTCTTGGCCACATTCAAGTACAGCAGCCCGTAGTGCAGAGGCTCGAGCGTGTGCATCGCCTCCATCAGACGCATGGGCGCGACCATCGTGTCGACCAAGCTCGTGAGAAGGGGTAGCAGCCGTTCCCTGAGACCATCTTTCGTCTCGTCGCATATCGGCGGGAGCTGGTCGCGGATGACTTGGAGGAACGCGTCGAACGCCTCCGAGGGCTCGTCGTCTGAGCCCATCCAGACCACCCGCCCGAACGCGCGCGCCCACTGGTCGAGCGCACACATGAGCGCCTTCATCGAGTCCGCCCACTTCATGCTGTCGCGCGCCAACTGCTCGACAAAGGACTCGTAGCTCTTGAGTTGCTCGCCCATCGCCTTGATCGCCACCGCCTCCATGTTCGCCTCGACAACTTCCTCAGTCTTCAGCGCCGCCGAGCGAAAGCTCTTCATCCGCATGCGGCTCACAGACGCCGCGACCCCAACACTGAGCGTGCTCTTCTTCGCCTTCACCGTGTCTACGCCTTTCTGTGGGGTACTGATAACAGCGGCGCTGGTGAGCACGTCCCGCACGACCTCCCTTCTTCTCCGCTCCTCATATATCTCCCGCTTAACTTGTTCCATTCGGGCATGCGCCTCCATCAGGTTCGCCTTATCCGGATGTGAGTCCGGGGTCTCGGAAATGATCGCGTGAAGCAGCATCGGATATTGTGTCAGCCGCTCCGCCGGTTTGAGAAGAAGTGACGGAAGGTCCCAAGCATCTGAGAAGTTGAGAGTCAACACCTGGGTCCGCGCAAGGTACACGTTGAATGCGGGTGTTCGTGAAAGGTTGTTGAAGCGCTCAAGGCTAGAAGACTGCTTCCTGGCGTATGCCTTGTAAAGGGGTTCCATCAGCGGAATCTGTATTGCAACATACGACCGTGGTCAATATCGCGAGAATGGATGGAAGCACAAGATCAGAGGTGGAAAAACAGACGAACAGAGTCCGTGGTCAAGGTCCCGAGTGTGCTATGAACGTCTATAAGGGGAGGACGTACCGCTGTGAGAAAGAGCTTTCCGACGTAGTCCTCCCATTCACTATTCGTAGTGAAATCGCCCAAAGCACATTCAAGGTCACTGACGAACTGCTCGGAAAACGTCGCAAGCTCCGCGATATTGTTAAAGATAGCCTTGACATCTGCTTCTGTCATTGGCGGCTGACCGTCGGCCGAAAGTGAGGTGAAGGAAATGTCGGAGATGGTTGAGAATGTTGCCCGAGACCCACGGGGAATTATAGAACCAAAGTCTCGTTGACCTAATGGGGAGATCAGGGGTAAAGCCTTCGTCAATCGCTGCTCGTGTAGGCTAGCTATCGAGATACATACCTGAAGCCAACGGCAGATGGAGGTCCCGTAGAGCCATAAGATGAATGACATACTTCCGCTCAGACTCGAGAAGGTCCAGCAGAGTCTGTCCACGCTTGGTGATGGGGTGAGCCATGGATGTGCGCGCAGAAATGAGGGCGTGGGTGGAGGAGAGCAGCGTTGCACAGTCATCAAACAGAAGCTCGGCATCCATCGACACTCCGGGAGTGCCGCTCAGCACCGACGACTGTCTCAGAGGAGAGGTACTTTCTAAGGTCACAGAGCGCCGCAGATGGGAGATAGGTCTCTGGGCAGGCTGATCCACAATAGTCGAAATGGAGTCGTAGCTACGAGAATGCAGCAGTGGCATGACAGGGTCGTCTGTGTCCAGCGTGGGTTCTTCTGCGATAGTCGCGAGGCCGTATAGTGAAGTCGAGAGCGGCGGCTCATCAACCGAAGCGAACAAAGGTGGCTCATGCTGGTCACTCTCTGCAGTGTGGGGTAGACGAAGTGGGGGATCCAAGGACATCTGGGGAGGCAAGACGAAGGATATAGACGTATCGGTGGAACAGAAAGCCTCAGACGACTAGGAGGATGAGGAGTTAGAGACTGAGATGCCTGTAGTCGACACTCCGCACAACATGTAGTCCTTTACAGAGCTCGATCCGACCACACCAGGAAACACGAGGCAATCGCATGGCCTCGGCGTGTGCTATCCTGTGAACTGCGAGCTGGCATGGACGCCCGCGCTGACACAACGACATGCGAAGTCCTCACACGGCGCTGTTTGAGCGTTACACGCGCCACTCGCCTGCTTGCGCGCATGCCTGATAATTATCAGCGTTCACATCATCTTCCTGCATCGAACTGGCCTTCGCCGTGCTGCGCGATGACCGCGGGGTGGAGAAGGAAGGCCTGGTGTCAACGGCGAGGGATGGGTCGGTCTGTTTCACGGCGTTGCGGCTCGACTAGGGCTTCAGAGTAGCACGGGCGCACGTCGCGTAGCCCCGCTTAATGTACACATATGATGACTTACAGCGAGCCTGTATGCCTTCAGATCCAAGCCACTTCACGAAGGGCAGGACAGTACCACGAGCGACTTTGGGCGCGAGCATGCAAGGTTCGACAAAGACGCAAGCGAACACGGTGAGCAATGACAAGATTGAATATGGCAACGTGTAGGTACATCACAGACGCCATCCCAGAGTCAAGCGTCCAGTAACGAGGTTCGCCAACAAGACACATGCAGCGGAGGTCCACGGGACAGCAGCGCACCGAGAGGACAACATACGCGGACAACGTATGACACGTCCAGAACCTAGCGACGCAACAGACCCGCCACCAAGGAAGCACAGATACGAGAACCTCCGCCGCGAGTGGCACAGACCACGGACGACTGAGCTGGCTGAGTTCTGATGCAGAAGGGACGATAGAAATCACGCCGCACGCGCGGTTTGCAGCGCCGTGAGGACGGTGAGCCTCCACAGGGAAGGGAGTCGCGTGCAGGTCTGCACACCGTTTGCGGTAGGGTGTGGAGAGCACGCCGCACGCACCTATTTTTCCCGTCCAAGCAAACAATCACGATCCGAAGGCTGCTTCATCGGGGCGAGAGGTTTCCGTCCGTATGCGTATTCCCCCAGAGCAGCTCCAGTGCGAGACGGTAGCAAAGCGTGTCGCCGTCTGAATGGGCCACCCGAGTCCGAGAGGGGTACAATGTCGCCGGTGCCAGCCCCTACAGGTTACGCGGGCCATCGGGGCAGAGTGAGGACCAGAAACGTAGCCAGAAGACGATAGCCACTAGAGACGTTCGAGAGGTGAAGCGAGTTACGGCCGCGGTGGGCGCAGGAAGAAGAAAGAGGACTGGCGCGCGCCGAAGGTAACGGGAACGTCCGAGCGGTGCGCCACGTGGCTTGTTTGTGGCTCTTTCTCTCTCTGCACGACGTCGTGTGCTGGCCAATGCGGAAACGAGTAAAAGCGGGATGCGGATTGTACGTAGGCAGAACCAGTACTCGACCTTGTGGGTCAACACCCGGCTGCAACATAGGCCGTCTTGGGCTCGCCGCGCACCATGACCCTCCGTCGGTCGCTCATACACGGACGTGTCCCTCGGGCTCCTTGATAGACGAGGGGGTGGGTGAATGCCGTCCATTGGTGAGTTCGTTGTGAAACAACCGCTACTTACGTTTCTTTTACATCCCTAGGCAGTGCTTCAGCTTCACCTCGTACCACTTGGAGATCGAAGACGTGTCCCGCCGCGATGTCGTCTGGTGAGCATGGAGTGCAATTTCCTCGTCGCTCAGACCACGAGAGCAACTCACCTCGGTGCGCGCCGTTGGTGAAACTGACCATGGTGCGAACTCGCAGATGGTGTGCCGTCATGAATGACGTCGTGGAGGCCGATAAGGCTGAACAGGCGCCCGTAATTGTTGAATCAACCGGTGAACGCTGTTCCGTCCGGAACCCGCCCTCGTTGGGAACAGTACACATATGCTGCGAGTAATAGCGGCCAATAGTGAGCGAGCGAGGCAGGTGCAGGTCCCATACTTACGGTGCAGAAGGGTGAGTGAGCGTCCCTGCTCAACAAACGCACGCTCAACGAGGACAGGTCTGGATCTGCGAAACAGTTGTCAAGGGCGTTCTCCTTCGCAACCGATCTTCTCCACAGGTGGCGGGCGACCGCGACTCCACTGGATGATGAGATCGGTATCTCGCGTGGGCGGTCAGGAACGGGCACGCGACACGGAGTATCTCGAGGGCGTACAAAGGCCGAGGGCGGAAATAGGCCGCGGAAATAGGCCACAGAGGGCTTGCGCCTTCAGGAGGTTGCGTTGCCACGTCGAGAGTGCTTGAGGAGGTCGGACTCGGTCGGCGGCGGAGAGACGGGAGCGAGTAAGACAGCGCGACGCCGGACGAGAGCGACACAACGCAGGCAGACACGCGTGACGTCACAGCACGTGTGTACTCCATATCGAGCAAAAGGAAGGCCGGACGCAGAGAATGAAGGCAGGGAAGACGTCACTGCTTCCCTCGCGCGAACGGCAGTACTTCTTATCCGGCCAATGGAGACGCGGCTTCGGGCATATTGCGATTAGAGGACGTCGCCTCTTCAAGAAGGGAAGCAGGTGCGCACGCCTCACGTTAGACTCGCCTCTGCCCGTCGCCCTCCCTATCCCCCCCTCCTTCTCTCTTCCCTCCCTCCACCTCGCTGCCCCATCCTCTCTTCCTCCCGCTCCATAACAGGTTGCTCAGGATGCGCTCCGTCTTTGCTACCGCTGTCGCCGTGAGTACCCCGTTCCTCGCGTTCTCATGGCCTAACGTGCTCAACCCGTGTCTCTAGCTCTCTGCTCTCACCGCCTCCTCGGCGAAGCAGATCGTCATCACCGTTGGCGGTAATACGACCAACAACGCGAGCACCGTCTTCCAGCCCGCAGAGGTCACCGCCAACATCGGCGACGTCGTCTTCTTCAACTGTGAGTAAATTCTCCTACCCACGTGGTCGTGTGCGGCGCTGCTGTCATATCAACCACGCCAGTCGCGTGGCCGTGCAATGAGGATTGCGGCACGTCTTTCGGGACGTAGTCCCAACAACTCCCCGCGTTCCTTATCAGCGTGGGATACCGTCAACTGGGCGTACCCGTCTCATAGCCTTCACGCGTATTACCCTGCCCACGTACCCTCGACGCGCCCCGTCTCCAAAACGCTCGGCTCGCTGACCCCGTCCCCCGCACGCAGTCACCCAGGGCAACCACTCGGCGATCCAGTCCGAGTTCGCGTCGCCCTGCATCCCCGCCCACGACACCAACATCACCGTCAACGGCTTCAACTCGGGCCCCCGCGACGCCGGGAACGGCACCGCAATCACGAACCTGCCCGTCACCGTCACGGACAACAACACGATCTGGTTCTACGACGCGAACACGTGTGCCGAGGGCGGCGTGGGCGGGATTAACGTCAACGAGAGCAGCACGGAGACGCTTGACGGCTTCAGGGTGAGTGCTGCGTCCTGTTGACTCGTCTGGGCCGATTGAATTCCTGATCATGGGTTTCACGACTCACAGCGGAACGCGATCCGCCTGAACGGCACCTCGACATCGACCTCATCGAGTCTCTCCGCGACACGCACAGGCCCGAGCGCGGGCTCGTCCTCGACGTCGACGTCAAGCCCCAGCAACAAGTCGAGCGGCGCAGAGCGCGCCGTCTCACTCGGCTTCGCGGCCGTCGTGCCTATGGTCGCCGCGGCGTTCCTCCTCTGATCTTTGGACCATTGGTCCAGACTCTGGTTTGCTCGAGGACAGTTTCTATCCCCACTGGGGCAGTATGTGCGTGCGCCCCGGCCTTCGCTCGCTCAGTTCCTGTCTGTACGGACCGGCTATACCCTATGACACTGTGCCTGCCCGATCCCTCTGACTGCTCGGCTTCATGGTCTGCATACCTCCTTTGCGGGTCGTCACGCGCGTCGTCTGCACTGTCTTTACCAGAATGGATACTCGACGCGGCCGCGTACAGACTTCTATCACACGTGTTCATGGCTCGGACGATTCATGGCTGTCGTTGGAGTAGCTGTGTATCACCGCTTGTTGTTGTGCCTCTTCTACGTCGTGTTTTGCTGTTTCGTGTTTGCGTTCTGCTTCGTCCATCTGCTCAATGGCATTCGCTGTTTCGATGCCATACGTCGTTCGGCGTACCGTTTGTGATGCGCATAATTAGATACGGAGGCGACGGTACGTAGGGGCGTGCAATGGCGTGAGGATCGTGCGGTAAATAGACGTATATGCGGGATTGCAATGCCGTGGAGGGATATGTTTAGGAGGAGCCGTACGGAGGTGCGACTATCGTGTATCGTACAGTCTTGGAGATACATACGGAAACGTGGCTGGGGCGGGACTCGAAAGCCATGTCCGATCTGAAGGCGGAGAGCAGAGAGACCGCGGATATCGTGCTAGTACAACGGACGACTCGGACAACGAACGAAGCGATGTAGAGACGCGAGATATGGAATTCATGGCGGGATCGAGACGGGACAAGTCACGGTTTACGACGACGCGAACCGCGTGCGGACGCGACGTCCTCGGGAGCCTCTGGAAGCCGGGAGCCACGTCGGACCGTGGGGTTGGAGAACGACGCCTCCGAGGCGGGACGACGGGGGGAGGGGGAATGCCGGGCGTTGCCGCTAGGGCGACTCGGAGCCTGGCTTCGCGCAGCGCCAGAGGGGGACTGGGAACGGTGGGCATCGTGGGCGACCTCGGGGGAATGGAGGCGGCGGTCCGATCGCCGTGGCATGGCCCTCGCTCCATCCGAGTGCGTCGCCTGAGGCGTGGTGGAGAGTATGATCTCGGCCCCGAGCCCGGCCTGTGTGTCTAGGTCGAGGGCTTCACTCGGAGGTGAGGAAGGCGTAGGCTGGGCTGATGCGAGCCGTCGGCGCATCGACGCAGCAGACGCAACATCACGTTGTCTCTGCGTCCGTAGCTCCGGCTCACTGATCTTATATTGAGCGAGAATGCACGGATCCTGTTAGATTGCGTGTGCACTCACTGGTCACCGTACGCCAGGCGGCCGTCATTTTCGGTCAACATCCCACGACGTTGATGGGAAGGCCGGATATCGATGTACCTGTTATCCAATGCATCCTTATCAACTGGCTCCTTTCCGGGACCCAATACGAGGACGCCCGGGCCATACACGGGGCAAGGAGTAAAGCAAAGTATGATTGTCAAGGAACGACCGGCCTTGCCGATACGGCACATGCGGGAACCTACATGCCTTGAGAAATTGTGCAGAGGGTATCATAAATGCCACGTACCATCTGGACGACCCCGGTCATCCTGTCCTTCTGGCCAAGTAGAGATATGGTCCCATTCGCAGCTGTGAGTGAGATACTCGTCTGCCGACGGCGATTCCTCAGCCGGGTGGGGGTGAAAGCTTGCATAGTGCTGGCCAGGCTGCACCGAATCACAGACTCCAAGTACAAGCCACAGGCCCTTCTTGACGGATCCGCGGCCCGACGAAAACGATAGATGGAAGGCGATGGGGACGTGCCCGTCCCAGTCGAACCGGACAGTCGGTACAGAGTCCAGATTGATCCGTTCATCCGCAGTCCAAAACGCGCGTCTCAGAGAGTCTGCGGTGATCCGGAACGGTGTTCGAATGCGCTCGTGCTCGAGCGCTACAGGAATTGGGTACGCCGTTCTCTTTGGAGTCGTGTGCCAGAGGGCGATATAGAGCTCCTCGCTACGAAGCCCGAACGATGGATCGGATGGCCGATGAGTATCTAGTCGAATGGCGGCCAAGCGTGCATATTTGTTACCACAGTGATAGAGAGGTTTGGCATCGTGTGGTGGTGGATCAGGGCAGCGTTGAAGGATGAGCCATAGGGACAATGTCTCGACTGTGTCTTCATCCTGAAAATGACATGCCGTCCAAGCTAGAGTGAGCTCGCCCCTATCGAAGCAAACGAGGCGAGAAAGGCAGCCGTATGGTGTCATGGTGCATGCGGGAACTTTGTTCCAACCGGAGCTGTGCAGTACGCTGTGCATCAGCAAATGGGGTGGCAAGGGATATGGGCTGATCACACACTATGCAGGTACGGCGTGAGAAATGGTTGGCGACAACGTCGTCCTTCCAGACCACCGTGGAGCAAAATCGTCAGGGGATCTTGCGAGAAGATATGAACGGGCGTCAGCGTGCGCATGAGATACTCCATAATCGGGCAGATCGTGAACAGAGACGGCCTCGATTCTTCCCCATGCAAGCAGGGATGGATCGATGGTCTGCTTCATGATCTCCTCTTGCAGCCGTTGGAACGCCCGCTCGCCTTCGCCATAAAGAGTTGTCATATTCACCGAGAAGATTCCCATCAGCGAGTACGCACGATCTTCAAGTCGCGTGGTCTCCCGATCGCAGGCCCACGACATGCGCTGAGCGACACTGATATCGCTCACGGGCTGCTCCATCAGGAGCACTTCAACGGGGATCTTGGTGATCCTGCTCAAGAGGCTCGCATGTTCCATCTTTGTGCCGAGTTTCTGCCAGTCGGCGGAGATGAACTCGACCACAGTGGCTGCGATGAGCTCCTGAAGCGTCCAGCCGCGCCTGTGCCACTTGCTTTGAGCGAACGGCGCCTTCAAGTCGTCAGAGAAGCGATCGATTGGAACATCGGCCAGGTAGGCGTAGCAGACGGCGGCGAGGGAGTAGTAGCGAAACATTGAGTTGATCGATTCGGAGAGCTCGGAGGAGCTATCCTTGTTGATACAGCAGGTGTCGTCCCAGAGCCAGCGAAGACGGTCCCGTTCCGCGATCTTGCAGATCTGACGGACCTTCTCGGACGCAGTGGTATCACGAACATTTGGACGATCGGGGCGCATGTCTTTGCGGTATCTGGGAGTGTCGTGGAAGAGCTGCTCGTCCTCGCCCCATACGTGCGAGAGGATCGCGTAGCCGCCGGGGACAGCCTCGGGATCGATGAAGTAGTGGAGCTCGGCGCGATCGGTGCTGAGGAGCCACATACCGACTGTACGATCAGATGTCTATCAGTGACGCTTGTCAGTCAAGGATTGATGACAATGTCCAGGTATCTATGAGTGATGCTTGTCAGTGGAGAACTGATAATGACGTACCGGGTCGCAGGGGTTGACAATCTTGCGCGTAGGGAGGGAAGCCAAGAAATATGGTGTGGGGATAACAGGTGGTCTGTGGGACCTTCTCTCCGTCAGTATTCTGAGACACGCACCTGGAAGCCTCAGAGGGCGTACTTACTGTTAGAGCCGGTGAAGGGAAAGGAGATGAGATGGGCGCGAACGAATACACCAGCATTAAATACCCGGACACTGGAGCCCCGGGGGCCTCACGCCCGACGTGCCTATGTCATTTCTACGCTGCTGTGGAGGCATTCTGTAAAAATTCAGCTACAAAACACGCTCCTTCGGCTCTTGTCAGGCACACCTGCGAGCAGGTTGCAGCATGTGGCAAGGACTAGTCAGGAGGTGATGCGGACCGATTTTGGGTACCCGTATACGACGCTATGGGCGAATGCATCAGGTCTGGATTGAGGCAAAGTCGAGAGCAGTTCACTCAAGCCTAGAAGAAGTGCGATGGTGTGGTGATTTGTCTCTCTGTGCTTCTCTGACGAGCTGAGGTACTATGGGGTAGCCTCATGGGAGTTGTGTGCATGATTGATTGACGTATCGGGTGGGATCTCCTGGAAGAGTGCAAAATGCCGAGTAGATAGTTCATCACGGATCAGATAGCAGGACGTTGCTGGTGAGACGTACGCACGGTGGTCACTTGCACGCGTGCGTGGGAAGTGGGTACCGCACAGCACTCATGAGGGGGCCCGTCTGAACTTGAACATCGCACTCGTGGCAGGCTCAAGCTTGTCCCAGGACACCTCCAGGCTGCCGCGTTCTGGGGCTCGGATGTTGAGCAGCTTGTGACTCGGACTTCCTGCCATGAATCAACTTCGCGATCTGATTTCCTCCCGCACTCTCGCTCGCTCCTCCTTCGGTCGCACTCTCAAGTTTCATTCTGATCTATCTTCGTCTTGTCCTGTAACATTTTTGATTGTGAGATTTTTAGGCCGCCCTGCTACCATGTACTTACGCTTGAGTATGGTCTTCCTCAGCTCTCAAGCTTCAAGTCGAAGTCGCAATCTGTGGTCAGACTAGTCTCGTGACCAGACGTTCGGAGCTTGAATCGGATGCGAAAAACCGGGGGCATCCGAGCTCCTGAACGTCTGGTGGCTTTACCCCCGTGACTCCCCGCTCGGTGACCGGTGTGACCTCCCTGCCTCTTGTCCTTCGTGCGCGTCTGCCTGCTTATCTCCCCGCTATCTTCGAGTCGCGCTGAGCCTACTCCGCTCTTTGTCGACACTCCTCTAACTGGTACGTCTCTATGACATCTACAAGCCTTTGCTACACATCCTCCATACTCAATCTGTCTATCTCTCATATAGGCAGTACACAGTAGTCCGCTCCATGGGCGCTTATAGATCATCGCGCACCCAGTCTAATCCCACCAACAGTGCCTCTGAGACATCCGCCTGCCACTGGTGTGGCACCTTCCCTCCCATGCGCTGTCAGAAGGTCTCTTCAAGCCTTTGCTGTGTGGCCTCCGAGTTGTATCCACGCGAGGCTTTGGCGGCGTCTTGGGCGGCTTCCAGGATGGCATATGAGCGGGTGTGTTCTTCGTGGGATAGTAGTCAGAGAGTAACGATAGCCATGTAGAGTATATTAGAGCAAGCCAGACATGATAATCCAGGAGATCATTGTGTCCAGTACAGGAGGTTTCGCAAGGTGTAACTACAACAGCAGGCCGCCACATCGCACGTCGCCCTCTGACTTGTTCGGACTGCCTCAAATGGGATCGATATGTGACACAGGTCACCAAGCGGGGAGTCACGGGGGTAAAGCCGACCAGACGTTCAGGAGCTCGGAT